TAGGTATGTTCACCACCTTGAGTTGACCAGAATATATAAAAGAAGGTGAGATGATGATGATGATAACAACAACAACAATAATAAAAATAATAGCTGTCATTCTACTCCACCTTTCCAAATTGAAAGACCATGAGTTGAGGCAAAAAGGGAAACACTACAGGAAGGATCTGGAAATAAATGTGCTCAGTTGTTGAAACCAGTGAGATCACAGAAATCTGAAGCTGCTTTCAAATTAGCTCAGAGCTGTGTGGAACTCTCCATCAGGAAAACAGGAGACGGCCATTTATTTTATACCTTCTATATGATCATTGACTTGGCAGCTAAGCAACCATTCACCATCATTCTTGGGCACCATAAGAGCATCCACAAAGGTAGCTGGGAAGAGGCTGATTGTGTTGACACGATGCTTCCTTTCGGTCAATATTTGCCCATGAAAATAAATAGAATGGATATCCGCTTCATTGCCAATGCCAAAAAGATACCATTTCACTTTCTCTTCTGTGCACATTGTGATATTGGGAAGATACCCATACATATATCCATTGATTGCTTTGAGAGAGAGAGAGAGAGAGAGAGAGAGAAATTTAAAAAATCACTGGTATTGGCTCTAACAAACCTTTAATATCAATCATGGCTGGTGAAATTAAACAAAATGTTGTGCCTGAAAACCTTTCTCTGGATAGAAATGATGTCTTAAATTTGTTTTTATCAATGGTGGGGGATAATATGTACATCTTGTATTTATATTTTATAACTTACAAGAGTGGCATTTCAACAAACTCCCATTTACCCACCAGTCAGAGCTATACCTGCTTAGCTTTAAGAGATATCATAAAAGAAACATCTGCAGAAATGAAGAGCTGTTTACATGTGGAGACATTGTGCAGAAACTTGTGGAGCAATGCAAAATTATTCCCTATCACAAAAGTATGGCTCCATGTTCATGAATTGAACGGTGTTGTGGAAAAACTGCAGAAACCACAGTTTCTCTGTTACCCATCAGGCTTAGTGTGAATATTCATGCAAACAAAGTTCTTAAAAGGACAAAACATGTTCTGGAAGATGCTCTTACAGTGCATTTTATTGCTTTCTTGGAAGTCTTCATTCTCTTTGTCAACTTTGTCAGGTTCAGAACAGTGTTTCTTAATATTCTCATCTAAATACCAGCTGAAATTTTCATCCATCACAGAGAACATCAAGACAAACTCACGGTCAACATCTTTATCTTTTCCATTCTGCAGAGTGCCTTAAGGGAAAATAACGCTTTTTAAGACTTTTTGCCAACTAAAATGATGATTAAACAGTTTTCTTCAACCTGATGCCATCTGCACATCTTGAAAATAACTCCTAGAATCCCCCAACTGGCATCATCATTGGCAGTTGTACTCCTAACAGATCTAGAGGGTGCAAGGTAACAGAACACTGCATTTAAAAAGGTCCATCATTACGCTAGATGAGGTAAGTACTGTATACACGGGAAAGCCAATGGTTGCCATTTATAAAACTCCAACTTTTTGAATTTCATTTCTTGGTCATGGGTGAATAGGATATACAGTAGAAAGTCAATGCAGACCAAAGAATTCTTGAATTCTTATACCTTTAATCATTACACACAATGAAAAATGACAAGAATATAGTTCTTCTTTACAGTTTATGTATTTTACAGAAATTCCATTTGAAACTTCAAAGAAATTTTGAGTGGCACAGTCATTGTAGGTGAACAGAGAATGCCTTGTCTCTCATTTGTTAGAATCAAAATGGCAACAGCTCTCTGTCACCAGCTAACAAGAGAGAAGTTGAGCTCCTCTTCATTAGTGGTGTTCAAGCAGAGGCTAGCCAGCCCTGCCTGAGACATTTAATTTGGATTCTTGCACCAAACAGGATAATGGATGCATTGGCTCAAATTCCTAACTCTATGATTCTGTGACTCTATTGTCATATCTTTTACCTTTTCTGCAAGTGACCAAAGCTCCAATAAGTCCAGAAGCAACATCCTTTGGAGCATCTATATGAGAATGATAGATCCTAGTCAAGCAGTTACTATCTCCTTCTGCTGGACCATGATCTTCAGTTACATCCCACTTATAAACGTACTGCTCTCCTGGCTGCACAGCATCATCTTTCTTTTGTGAATGTTCAGTATTATCAGGATAGAAAGCTCCTAAGAAGTATAAGAAATATTACACATGTTACGTAGTCATTTCGTTTGATTACACTTTTTTTGTGCTGCTTCTTAGTATGTCCTACAGTAATTGTGATTTTAAATAATACCTGTAACATCTCAGAAAGAATTCTTATATGCATGTGCATGTGCATAAGATATATCCTCTCATATACCTATATATGAATGTTTGTAGGCATAGAAAGACATATTTAAATCAAGCAAAAGCATTTGGTATGATTTTTTTCTTCTTCCAAGTTGGCCATAGATGGAAACAGAAAAGCAAAAATTACTGTAAAACAACTAAACATTATTTAGACTTTCACTGTACAAGATTCACATGGGGTCATGGGAATAGGCCCATCCTGACTTATTTATGAATAACCATTAGAATGGGTTGACACATTCCTCTCATGGATTATGTATGAACATTAGAACATTAACAGTATTAAAATGCACTAAACAAAACACTGTTTTGGATTATAATGAAAGCTCTACACTCATACAGTTATAAGGAGATAAGATCAAACCCCAGGGCTGAAGTGGAACTGGCTATCTCAATGTTACTTACTCCACCATAGGCATTCAGTTGAACATCCAAAGTCGTCATATAAATCCAAGCGATGTAAATGTTGAACTGATATATGGAGGTCTGATGACTATAAATAAGTGCATTCCTCAGGATAGAACACATAATTTGTGCTATTTTTTTCAAAAGGAATGATAAACTCAGCTGCCAGAAGTCTTGTTAAAAGAACACATAAATCTTACCTTCGTTTTCTTTTGTGTATTTGACACCGTGGGGATGGAGACTATAAGCTCTAGTAGCAAAATTTTTTAAGTGGATGACAAAGGAGTCCCCAACTTCTGCTTTGAGAACTGGCCCCAGGAAGCCCAGCCAAGGTGGTTTTTCCACAGCATGACTGTATGAGTTATCTGTGTATTGTGTGTACACAGCTTTTTTATATGTGCTTCCTATCCGATCTGGGCCTTGCTGTAGAAAGACACTAGCTTCCCTGAAAGAGAAACATACAAACAATTATATCAACCCAAGTCTTTTAAAATGATGTATTATTTACAATAGTTGTCTACAGCTTGCTGGATGGAATTTTGAGAGTTGTGATCCAACACATCAGGAGATCTTCAGAGCGGGTGCTAGGCAATTAACAATGATGATTCCTATGAATAAGCTAACAGAGCAAATATTATTGTCTCAGATCAAATATGGTTGCATAAATATTTCCTTTTGTTATTTTTTCCCCCAAAGGCTACATACAAACAGGTGGAGAGGTTGTCAGAACATGACTGCCCATTTGCTCTTTGTCCATATATTGTCCTGTACCACCATGCCCATCTAACTGGCCAAGTTCGCACAACACTAATCTAACTGAACAACAATGACTGTTGTCACTGCTGATTCATCCATCAGCTCTGAAACACCATCCCTACTGTTTGCTCTGGCAGAATTTTCTCTAGCAGGAAAATTTCTTGCAGGTTCTCTGGAATATCAACATGATGCCTTGAAAGAGCCAAAGAAAGATGGCCCCAAATGGTCTGTATCATTCTGCCTACTCTGATTTTTTACTTTTTCCCAAACACTATAACCACTATATATAAATACCCACCCACACATAAGATCAATTGTACTGTTCCCTTCAGAATATGTTATGCTAACACAGAGTTAAAAATAGTAAGTCAAAGGAATTAAGACAGTGTTTTTCAAACTTGGCAACTTTAAGATGTATGGACTTCAACTCCCAGAAGATGTGTGGACTTCAACTCCTCAACCAGCATTTTTCATTCTTCCCCTTTCTCTTGACCTAGTCACTCTTCTTTCATTTATGTGTTTTGTAATTTGATCCTCATTCATTCTCTCTATATGCCTGAACCACCTGGATGATAATCTTCCATATTGATCATTCACTTTTACAAATCCACATTCATTCCAAACCCACTCATTTGGCTATCTCTTCTTCTTTCATGTCATAAACTTCTCTTTTTTTATTAACTAAATATAAAAAACAAAGGGAAAAAAAACACAAAATTATAAAAGAAGGGGGAAAGGCTTTAAAAATAAACAAAAACATATAGGGCATATATCCACACAGACATACATACATCAATAAAAGGAAGCCATGATTCATTACCATCATCCATAGCTAATCTATATTAATTAATTCTGCAGACCACAGAACAGTTGAAGCTGTATATTTGCCTTCCAATGCTTTTGGTTTTAAGGTACAGAAAATAACTTTTCTTTGTCCACATGTCAATTTGCACATGGCAGAGATAAACAACAAAAGAATATAAATATCTGAAAATATTAAATCTCAAAGCTGAGTTAATACATGTAATAATTTCCTTCGCAAATTGAACAATATATTTAAACAAAGCATTAATTTCACTACATCTCCAACTATATGAATGGAATGAGATCATTTCTAAATTAGTATTTCTTGTTGAAAAAGATGTAACCTAAAAATCTATTGAAATTTCTGGGGTTTTCTTAACAGCTCTTCTTTTTATTGCTTAATCAAAACATGTAAACAAATAAAGTAAAAACAAAGAGAAAGGAAAAAGGTACATATTGTCAGGCCTAGCCCAAGGAACTCCAAGAGACAATGCAAAATCAGTTCAGCTATGTTTATTAGCTACAACCTCTAGCA